TTTTACAGAATTACCATAAAAAATAAAAACTTTAATATAGAATTACATATCGTTTATTTTAAAACTCTTTTCACAAATTAATCTAAAAGTTTTATCTGATATGTTTTTTCACTTTTCTTATATATTTTTTCTTATCATTTTTATTTTATTGCATTTTATATGTTTGACTATGAAGTCTTTCGTTTTTTACTCTTCATCAACATTTATTGTTTTCGATTATATTTCGATTATATTATTATATTAATTCGCTTCATGCGCAATACATATTTCCGGACATCTTAAGAGAAAGAAATATCAAAAAGTACTCTCTCTGTCTAACCTCCCGCGGACATTGTTTCTCATGCAGAAACTATAGTAATTATCAGTCCACATCTATAAGGTCTATGGCTTAAAATTGGTGAAAGAGGCCTTAATGCTCGATTTCACCAACGTAGATTTACTTTAATCTCTCGGTTTAACTTGCTAATTCTTGCTAATTCTTAGAACTAGAAAAAGATGAAAAGTAAATTGAACCGAGATTAAAATTAATCTGCGTTGCTGGAATGGGACATAAATAATCTATTATAGACTGGGACTTAACCTACGTCTACGTTTATGATAAACGTAAGCGCTTACGTCTCGTTCTCTGTCATCAGCCTAAGTAGAGGCGTATATTTTGTATGTGAACGAGAGAGAACGCGAAGGCACAAAATAGAGTATATCCTTTTCTACGTACCATCTACGTACACATTACTCCTCGAATAAAAACAAACGCTCGATTAAAGTACATTATGGTATACTAATCTATAATATACGTGACCTGAACTATATATTTTCAGTACTGGCAATGAATATCGGAACGCAGCTTATGTCTATTTTTTGTCTCTCTCTTTTAATAATGATTTTTTTAAAATAATGCGTGCGTATGTTGTGTGTGTGTGTGTGTGTGTGTGTGTGTGTGTGTGTGTGTGTGTGTGTGTGTGGTGGTGGTGGTGGTGGTGTGTGTGTGTGTGTGTGTGTGTGTGTGTGTGTGTGTGTGTGTGTGTGTGTGTGTGTGTGTGTGTGTGTGTGGAGCTAACAGGATGTTCCATGTAATCACGCGTGCATTCTCACAATCGGTCAAAAACTTTTTACAAAAGCACAGGATAAGATAAATGCGTTCTCAATACCGACACGCATTTACCTCTAAACCCTTAGGCATACGATCGGGTTTGTCTCAGGCTTTACTATCCCGAATTGGGGGGTCTTAATGAAGGCACGTGCGGACTCGCCTTTGTCGCTCACTAAGGATTTCAACACAGCTAGAAACAGCTTAATTAAGCGAAACCAGCATTACACAGCTGTCCGTATGCATCTACACGTGCCAATGAATATCCACGCGAGCGCGTATTCTCAACTATACCGGGTGTCGCACAAAATGTGTATATACTGAGGCTTTTACATTCAAATTTAAATTTATCCACTTTTCTCACCTTCTAATGTAATCTTCCACCATGCGAAACTTACATTATATTATTAAATATTTCTACAACTTATAGCAAAAAATTTATATTATGATATGTAACACTTGATTAGCAGAAGATTCGTTTCACAAGAGTGTTGTTCAAATTGAAATTAAGGTACTTCATAAATAATAATTTGTCTTATTTAACCTTTTTTTTATATTGTATTTAAATTATTGTATTTAAATAATTTCGATTACAATTTTGTAATCGATTAAAGATTAAGCTATTGTAATTTCAAAAAATGTTGTAATAAATTTATTAAGAACATCTATATTTATCTCATATTGAATTTAGAATGATTGGAATTTTTTTGTTATAATTCTGCGCAATTGACTAAAGGCCAAAGATGAGAAATGGGAAAAGGTCTTCTACGGAAAAGGAGCTCATAGAGATCTGAGGCAAAGCTCAACTTTAAATGGAATCCCGTTTTGGGAAGCTGCATACAGTTTAATTAAGCCAGACCCATTTCGCTTGTGTCTACAAACGGTATTTTGCAGTAATGCCTCGACCCTCCTCGCTCCCCCTTCCTCTCGCTCTCTGTCCGACCTCTCTATAAAACGGACGCCAGTTGAAGGAAGTCCAAGTTCGCCTAAGTTTCGACTCGAGTGTCCGTCCTAATGAATTGCTAAACTATCCCGAATCCCCCTCTCAAACGAAAGCTCAATCTCCTTGAATGGCTTGCCCCTCCCTTCGGAGGCTCCCTTAATGCCCGATTAATCAAGGATACTAATTTTATCGAAAGTGAGAGAAAGTTGAGAAAATTCCGGTAATCAATAGTTGTTTAATAAAAAACCGATCAGAGTCCAGTCATTAAGTCCATAAAAAAGGAGGACGTTACAGTTCTGTAGAAGAAAATTTAACTCAAATTACTTTTTTAATAACGGATAAATAATGAAGCACAATTAATTTTCTTTCTCAATAATTTGCTTATACAACTTTGCTAGTGCATTGGATTATTTCTTGCTTTTTAATTTTACTTTACAGACAGTGAATTTGCATTTATTATATTTTGAAAATAATTAATTCTGATTTTTAAAAAAAATAAAATCATTGAATATTTCTACAGTATTTTAGATTAATTAAATTAATTAGATTAATTTTAGTATCTTTATTTTCTTTTATTTTGGAATCAATATTTGAATAGAATGTAGTGACAAGTTAATATCGCAAGGTTTAATATTAATTGCCCACTAATATGTAGAAGCAATAAATATGAGAGTAGAGAGTTAAAGTAGAGAATTTGATATTAATTAGCAGACAGGTAATTGCACAACGAATTCTAATTTGTTTTGACGGTGAAGGCATTAGATTAAAAAAGATTGGTAAATTATACAAGATTCTTTTTTTAAAACAGTAAATATATTCATGGTTCAATGCTGTAATAAATGATATTGTGAAGATATGAACAATGTAATTGAAATAAACGTGGTAGCGTAATTATAGAGTTTTAGCATTGATAATTAATTGTGCAATAGAGTAAGGTAAAAACAAAAATAGAATGGAAAGGCCAGAGAGAGGGGAGGGGAGGGAGGGGGAGAGAGAGAGAGAGAGAGAGAGAGAGAGAGAGAGGCGGAGGAGGAGAGACGAATATGCAACAAGGGGGGGTGGTGATGCAGCAACGTAGTGGAATGGATGGATAGATAGAGGAAAGGGAGAGGGAAAAAGATATTGGAGCGGGAGGAGAAGTAAAGTTACGAGGCTGTTTACAGGCGGCTGTTAAAACGATCTAACTCATGGCCGGCCATTGCTCCCGCCAGGCTTGGCTACGCAATGCAACGTTGCCCGTATCTTATACAAGTCGCCTCAAACGTAGTCGGTTCTATTTCTCGGCTAGATCAGCTGAGTTACTTGAATTTCAAGTGTATCACGAATTCTTCAATTTATTAAAAGAAGAATACATCGAATACATATCTTAAATTAATAGAATAGAAAGGATCAGGGAGAAGTGAGCAGAGGACGAATTTCTGCGTGTTCTCTGGCTCTCTCGGCGATTCGCGAGCGAATTATCGACTAATATTCGACTGTTACTGCTCGGTGCATCCCAAGGCATTCTGCCTTTGAGAGCAATATCCCGCATATGTATCCGCCGGGATCTATCCGCTTTCGAAACCGCGTCTTTGCCGAACTACCCCGACGACTCCAACGCGCGGGAATTCCGCGCGAAGTATTTATTCATCAGCGTATCCCACCGATAAAGGAATTTCATAATGTCGCTATCATACACCGCCGTTGATTGAAGGATCATCTCTCTTTTCCTTTTTTTCCCCCCGTTATTCTCTTGTACGACAACAATGTTATTATCGATCAAGAATAGCAGGATTTATGTAGTATTCTTGAAAAACGCTTTTTTTTTTTTTTTTTTACAGAAGGATATCAATTTTTTTTCTCATGATATTTTTTTTTTAATAAGCTTTTTCCCAATTATTGGGATATACGAGAAAAGTATCAGATTGAAATTTTTTTAAAAATTTGCACGCTTTAGATATTTATTCTTTAACTATAAAAATATATAATTCTTCGTTGAAAAAACATTAAATAGAGATTGAGCTTTTATCAATATTTCAATCAAAGAAAAATTATGGTTTAAAAGGAGTAGTGAAAATACGGTTGATATTACAAACATGCCCTGCATAGTATATATGTTGAGTACTTGCCTAGACGGAGGCAAACGTAAGGATATGTAGACAGAAACGCGTCTATTTACGGTTGAAACATGTCCACTCTGTAGCTCGCGGGACATAATACCGTTTGATGACGTCATTAAGCCGGAGCTGGCTTATTGTTTCTCGTAAAATGTACGTGCAAACTATTCTGCACGCTATTCTGTTTCTGGAGTTCAACTCAAGTTCTACTCACATCTATCACAAGAAAAGATCTTTTTCAGTAAGATGTCAACAATGTTAAAATTCAATTTATTTTTAAAAGCAGCAAAGTGTACAGAACGTACTCTCAAAGAAAGAAATTTTGAAAACAAGATAGATTAATTTTGCTTAGAACAGAATTTAATAGAAAAGGAAAAGAAAATGATAACTTTTTTTTGCAATTTAATATTAGATGATATCTAGAAAGCACCTGTACTTTTCAATTCTTCCTTTTGTTTCATTATTTATTAAATTTCTTTTTACTTATTTCACTCGTTTTGATACTTCGCTCTTTTGTGAATCCATCTTTATCCAAAACTTTCGCAGTTTTGTTCTTTCATTATCATCGTCGTGGTCTCTGTTTTATGAGAGTAGCGGGTGTAAACCGGCCGTAAACTTATAATTAAATACCGCTAATGGCATGTGTTTGGCACATGCGGCATGCAGGCATCCTTGTGACTATACGTGCCAAAAATAGACGTCTTTTTGGGTCACTTTTTTTAATTGAAACATCGTTCTGAAACAAATTCTTATGTTTTGTATTCCGATAATTGATTTAGGAGTGCACATCGAATTTAATTTTAACGTTATTAATATAGGTAATTTAGTAACAATAATCAGAAATATTACAATCGCGTTTCTTTATCTGTTGCAGGAGAGCCCATCTTAGGACTTGCCTCGAGAAGCTGAAGCTGTTGGTGCCACTCGGGCCTGAAACTTCGAGGCACACCACGTTGGGCCTTTTAACCAAGGCCAAGCGTTTTATTAAGGTGAATGAATCAGTTAAAAATTGATAAGAGGTCGAAAGCAGATTGTAGGAACAGGCAGACTTTGCTAAAGTTGAAAAATTGTTAAAGAAGAGGTTTATTCCTTTTGGCAATTAGTAATCGTCTATTTAGAATTTGTCACACAAGCGTGTTATTTGCGAAAAGACAATTGTTACCTCGAAGAAATAAAGAATGAGAGAGAGAGAGAGAGAGAGAGCTAGAGATATAAGCATTTGAGATATAAACAGGAAGCGCATTGGAAACATTGTTTTCCGGTTGGAATAAGTTCAGAAGGGACAAATGGGCGGAGGAAGGGCTGGCTACGCGGTGTAGAGAAAGGCAGAGCAAGGTGTTGCAGCAAACAGAGTGGCGATGTACAATGGATGCGTAGTTAGTAAATTACAGACTGCCAGGGACAATGGCGTGCGTACCAAGCAAGCCATTGCGCGTGTGTACGTGTCAGAGTTTTCCACGCGGTCTACAGGGTGACGCGGACAGAAGATTTCGCATGGACTCAAACAAGTGACGAAGGCGCTAAATAATACGTGTCGTCTGTTCTCATCAGCAGTTGTCTTCGTAAAAAGTGCCTGAAATGTATCACTATTCTCGCACACGCACACGCATACGTACACACATACGTACATATCCACAGATGTATTATGTTTCCAGATGTATATTCTCGCAGTGTACTTAAAGTGTACTGAAAGTAATCTCACTTCCTTGCCATCTACTTGATTTATTTTTCCTCCTTTTTCGAGACATAACGTTCTTTTCAAATTTTTTTGATACGACGAAAAAGCCAAGCTTTTTCATCTTCAAAATTCCTGAGGATGCTTAAAATGTTTTTGGTAATACATGTGGATGTGCGAAAATTATTAAATTTCATCTCGTGATAATGCGAATAAATTTTATGATGGCAATTAGAATATGATGAGAATAGATTTGACTAGAGATATATGATATCTCAAAAATATCTGAAACTTACTTGAAATATCAAGAATTGATGAATATCGCTTCGTGATGAATTTGTATGTAGTATGAAAAGTTGAAACGCTTGTTTTATCGGCGTAATTGCTCCATCATGTTAGAATCTGAACGCTTGCTCCCAGGGCACCCTGTAGAATGGCAAGCAGCAGTGCGTATCCACCGTTCATTCGTATATGCATAGTCCGCGTGGGAGACTCAGCGTGTACATCAATCTGACCTGCGGGCACCTGTGTGTATATTATGTGCCTGCGTTAGGAGAAAAAAATATGTTCATTCGTCCGCCATTTGAGGAGAAAAGCTGTCACGTATAATTTAAGAATGCATCTAAATTTTAAAGCAGTAAGGAAATAACGAGATACCATAGTAAAGGCATAACTTTAACACAACGCGTAACGACCCGTTTTATAAATCTGAAACTTCTTTTCAGTTTTCATTATTTTACATGTAACTTTTTGATTGATTCGGCAACGATAATAGAGAGTTGATTAATTACGGCGGCAAAGTTAGGAAATTGAGACGACTCAGGAAAGAGGCGAAAGAAAAAGGATGGAGGATGAAAGAGAGAGAATAGGTTGAAAAGAGGATAGATGGAAGTTAAGAAGGCAACGAAGGGAAGAGGAACTAAGAGACACGAAGGTGTCGTTTTTATAAGAGTGGTTTACAGCCCGGCGAGAAAGTAAGACGTAGCGGAAGGGATGAGACTGGAGCGGGAGGGGGGAGAGTAAAGCGATTCGTATTTTGCGGATTGGTGGCGTGTAAGTCTTCATTTGTCCGCCTTTGAACTTCTTTCTTTCTATTTCGTCGGCCTTCGTGATTCTTTACACGCTTTGGCAGACTTTTTTTGTTCTTAATTATCTTTTTTTACTTTCCCTATCTTCCCATTTCATCATGTATACATAATAATAAATCAACTCAAAAACAGGATGATTAATTTTTGAAAATTCTTATGATTAAAAAATTAGATATTTAAAAAAATATCTCAATTTTTATACAACTGCCTAATATAACTTTTTTTAATGTAAATATTAAAAATAAACATTTGAAATTTTTGAGAGATATATAGAAATGATCGGAAACAGTATTAAATTAAAAAATTTGATTTTAATATTTTATTATTATTATAAAATTATTATTATTATAAAATGATATTACAGTTATACATTTTTCTTAATGTAATACCTCATGGAATTAATGCATAATAATTGATTTTATTTATATGTACAAAAAAATCGTTTAATGTTAAGCAATTTTAGGACGAAATTCAGATTTTTTTAATCAAAAACGTGACATAAGATATTGTAGCAATTTTGATCGATTATATTACAACTGACATCGATCGATGCAATGTAAAATGGTAAGGATGAGGATTAAGCTTCACTTCTGAGATCGGTCGATTGGCTTTACGACGGAGTACGTTCAGCTTGACGCTCTCCTTAGCCTCGTTTTATCTCTAAATTGTAAATTCATATCGAGTAAAATGGGAAGCACGAAACCAGGAAATTTCCTTCGAACGTGATGTCAGCCGCACCATTATAAACACGCACGCATGTATGCAAACACGTCGTCGTAGTGTGGGGCTCTAATCTGCGATCAGGTGATTCCGTCACCAAGCTACTTCCACCCTGGTGCCATTTACCCCATATCTAAAGCGTCGTTGAGTCTCAGTTATCTTTGTGTCCCAAATTTTTTGTAATACGAGAATATAGCACTAGAGATCCACCAATGTCCTTGTTTTCTTAAAATTTTTTTGACGACAGCAATTTTAATAAAATTTCAAATCAACATGTTTAAATCTTAAAAGATTTTAACTTAAAATTAAAGATATAAAAATTGAAATTTTTTTTTCCAGTTTAACAACAAAATCCTAAAATTGAAATCTGAAGAATACTAAATTTAAAATTTTAAGAAATTCAAAATCTTTTACTTTAGACTTCTAAAATGAAGCTTGCAAGGTTGTCAAATCTGTGTTGTATCAATAGATACTACGCAGTAGGATACGCATTTAGTTACATTCGATTATTTCCTGTTCGGTGATTTGCACCGGAATTGCTCGGCCTCTTCTAGGTAAGCGCTCGCTGTTGCGTTACGAAATAGCATGCCACATACAATACAGAGGAAACCGATTATCGGCCGACGTCGATTCTATTGGCAGCTCTCAGAACAAAGCAAAACGGAGAGATATTTGGTGATAAATAGTTAATTAAATTGAAACTCTTTACATCTAACGAATAGATTCACATTTTCCAACATTAAATCGAAGCGATAAATCAAAGTCGTCGGTAGATATGGAAAAAAAAATGGTGCTGAGTCATCAAGTATAATTGAAAATAATCCTATTGATTCAATAATAATATTAATAAAATGAATGCGTACATATTTCTTTCAACACTATGAATTGCTATTGAATTAATAAGATTACTCTTAATTACTTAATTTCATGCATGTTGACGCAGTGTCATTTTTTTGTTTATAGATAAACACAAACAGTCTATCGTTGTGTTTGTGATACTATAAATTTATACGATTATATATCATTTTTTTACGCTACATTGTATTGTAATATCCTACGTTGTTATTATTATTATTATTGTTATTATTATTATTATTACAATAATGACGTTATATTACCATATTATTATCGTAACCACGTGATCTGGGTTACAGAACTTGGAGGATCGCGAGCGCAAGCACGCTTTACACAAGGAGCAGCTGTCGCGCGAGCACAGGTTCTTAAGACGGCGGCTCGAGCAGCTGACAAATCAGACCGGCCTCCACGGCCTTGCGCTTCACGGCCTCCATGGGCTCAGCACGAGCGCGCCGACCGGCTCCGCCGCCGCAGCCGCGGCTGCCGCCGCCGCCTCCGCGGCGATGCTGTCCAAACGGCGCAGCGTCTCCGAGTGCTCCTTGGGCACGGCGTCTACCAGCTCCACCGGAAGCTCCAGTAACTCCGACAGGTCCGCGGGTAGCCCATCCATCTCGGAGTCCGGTAAGTACCGCGACGAGATAGGTGTTACCTTAAAGACGCGTTGCTTCCGATTCCGAAAAATCTTTACAACCGTTCGCCACCTTCCTCTCTTTCCTCGTGCTCTCTCTCGGTGAGATACAAGTATCTCTCTCACAAGGTGCGAAGTGCGAAATACTAGATACCGATTGATTCCATATTTTCCTAAATTTCATTAAAGAATTTTCACGTTATGTCAACTCGACTAAACGGCAAAAGATTTCGCGAACAATTTATAACAAAGTTATGGGGAACTGCGTATTTTTCGAAAGAAATAAAATATACCTAAAAATCTAATTTGCAATATATTATTTGATGGATTACGTGAAGATTTTTTTTTTTAATAGTATATGAAAATAAAATTTTTTAAATACTATATTTTTTACATACATCTAATAATTGTGATTTTTAAGGATCTTTAAGGAGAAGGAAATGGAGATATAACGATATCACGCTAGTGATTGTCCAGAATAAAATAAATTGGCCTTTTTACACGGGTAAAATCTCTTTCGTATAACACATTTAATCACATTTTTGACGCGAAATCTTCAAAGATTTTCGACAATAACATTATTTTTTTTTAGCTCGATTTCATCGATTATATCTTAGTCGTCACGACATACAATTAAGAACAACCTGGAAACCAACGCGATAGAAGTTATATCGATCACTCTATCTACTTCGTAAAATCGAACATAAATAAATCTATTTAATTTTCCGAAGCATCATTTAAACACAACGTACAGTCATGCACATAACAAATAGGCGCATACACATATACACATAAAGGTATGTACACTAGTTTCATATTATATCGTGTCACGCAACAGCATTTTTATTGAGTTTTCGAATATAATCTTACGTCTTTTTAATATATTTCAGAGAATATAAATATGTAAATGTTTTATACAGTTTCTACATCAATATCATATATTGATATAGTAATTATATAAAACGTTTACATTTAATTTTCCATTTAAAGGCTTTATTCAATATAATTTCAATATAATTATTCGATATAATTTTTTTATTTATTTTTTTTTATTTTCAGCATAAATCAGTTATATAGGATGTAAATAATATTTCTCTTATATTGTAGAATACCATGAGAGATGTCAAAATTTTGAATTTAATATAGCATATTAGGATACAGAATAAGATGTATATATGTATATAAAATATGAGATTATACGAAAATAAATAAGATAGATATGAAATATGTTAGAACAAAAAATGTTTTTTAATCGGCTTCAGAATATTGATCGTTGGAAATGTGGGCGGTGAGTGCGGAAATGGTGCGATTTGAGAGGCACTGATTAAAGCGGCGGTTTTAAGGGTGGCACGAGTGGCGAGCAAAAGAGTTCATTAAAACCAGCGTCATGCACACCCTTGGTATCGTTGAATTCGTCAAGCGTTTGTCTCACCAGTAAAAAGCTCGCGAGACATTCGATGTTTTTGACCATTTCTCCTTACCATGGAGAGGTATTTCAAGCGAAGCGAAAAAATAATTCACGCGGCACGTTTTCCTCCTAGTTAATCATTTCTCGTTATCACACGGTAACGAAAACAGCATGGTGCAGCCCCGTTGCGTGTCCACGCGTTTATCAGGAAATAAATGGAAGGGAAAAAGGTGGGCGAGGAGAGAGGGGAAGGTGACGGTTGACGATAGATAACAATAATATCCGTCACAACCGCGATAATTAACTCTTAGCTCGCTCGAACGAAGTTTTCGTGAAGGTTCGCGCATGCAGATATTTCGCATGCAACTCGACATTAGACATTAGATACTAAACCACACGGATTTAGATTTATGACTCTATCGAATTTTGAATCGTGTATATACAGCACTGGGATTGACGTCTTACTGTAAGATAGAATAAGAAAAGTACCGACACACAAACTGTATATCTCTCAATCCTAAATCGTCAACTTCCGACTTCGCTCGGCGGGCGGATTATCTGAGTCTATTTATATATGTCGTCGGTCCCGATTAAGTCTCGATCGCGTCTCAACCCAATTGCGATAAGTTCGCAACGTTGCGATGGTAAAGTCATCGGTCAATATTTCTTCGGTCGCGTGATGTACGTAAGATACACAACGTAGCGCGGAGTTTGAAGTTAATATGGATTTCTGAAGAATTTCGAATCCAAGAAAATTTTCAGTAGTCGATATCTTAATATTTGTGACTTTTCGAAAATACACGATCGTCGAACTTAAATACATATAAATACATAAATAATTGACACATAAATTTGGACAGGTAATTTTTTCCTTTTTTCCTTTTTTTTCCTTCGCAATTGTAATAATATTATATAATAATTGTATAAATATGTCCAATAAAAACTCGCAAGAAAAAATTATTCAAAATAAATAAATATATTTTATAAATATA